TTTATATTCAACATGCACCAGGTAAGATGTCAGAACATCTTATAAGGAACCATGCAAAACACAAGCATCATTATCACCAGCAGCAAAAGAATCTTCACATGCCACTCAGATAACCATCAGTAGTTGTCAGGCTAGATTCAAAGATCTATCCTCCTAGCTTTTAATCTCCTTGAAACTATAGTAATAGATGGTCTGATAACATAATATCCTTCCTTGTTCAAAAGACCAAAAAGTATCTTCCCTATAACTCATCCAGAAATAGAATAGGATGCCTGCTCTGATACCAATTGAAATTCTGGTGTACAAATCACAGATGTCCCAAGAGATGTCGAGACATTGATCTCTGCATAACTAAACAAGGCCCAAAAATAAGAACATTCAAATACTGCAAATACATTACAGTATCATGACAGATGTTTCAATATCTATCAAGACATATATTTCAGAACATAAGAGAAGACCAAATTTAACAAACAGAAAGATAAAGAACACCAAGATATGATGACCCAATTCAGTGAATAACAAAACCTACATCTTGGGGCTACCTTGAGGTCGACGACAGTCTCAGACGATCGAATTTTTGCCCTCTTCGTAACCCCTTGCGACATTGGGGAGTGGCTACCTTGAGGCGATGACGAGGACCCCATTCCTCATTGGTCGGTAACAACCTGCTGCATCACTTGGGCAACCATGCCCTTCCCGATTTTGGTCGCGGATCTGGAGGCCTCCAATTTCCTCACGCGCTCCTCGATGGTTGATATGCTTCCTGCAAACCAAAATAAGAAAGGATTAGCATACAAACAAACAGTGACCGAAATATCGAGCATACTATCGCCCATCACCTAGGAAACGGAGAGCCTCCTCGTCAGACAAACACTCGAGCAAAGCCTTCGTGTTTATCAACCTCCTCTGCTGGAAAACATGCCCTTGGCTGTCGAGGATAAATTTACCGTCGGGCGTCACCATTTTGGCTAAGGGTAAGCAGGCCACAAAGGACACTATTTTCTGGTAGCCCACCAAGTCCTCCTCGTCCATGGTCCTTGCCCGCACAATGTAGTGATCCGTACCCTTTTTGAAATACTCCTTCGTCCACTCCAAGGGAACCCTTGGCACCATAACGTCTTCCCGCTGCCCGTTCACTCACGAGCTTCTCGTTGATACAGGGAGGTGCACGCCTCGAAAGAAATGGCCCGGACCATGATGAAGCGCACCTTGAAGTCCCTAACAGAATCCATGTATGCCCGGAAAAGTCTCCTCGGCTGCTTCAGCGAGACCCACCCTTGCCGGTCATCTACCGTTTGCCTCTGCAGGTGGAAAAGGCGGAAAAACAACGATAGAGTGGCCCCAGTCTCCAGATGCTGGCAAGCGAGGTCGTACACCCGGATGAAGGCTATGGCATTAGGGTGCAGCTGCGAAGGATCCAACCTTATCCAATCGAAGACGCCCAACTAGAAGTCCGTAAAAGGAAGCCTAAGACCGGCCTCGCAGAAGTAAAACTCATACATCCGGAACCTCATCTTCTCATATGTCGAGCATACCCGATGAGAGTCCCGTGGTCGGTACACCTGCCAACTGATAGGAGAGTCTGTGCAGCGGTCCTCGACAGTCGTGTAGGAACCAGTATCATCGTCGACAAAATAGTACGGCGTATTTAACGGTTTCTTGGCGACCCAGTCCTCAACAGAGAGGTACACGCTTCAGCAGCTATAGCCTCTGGCTCCATGTCGACTTCCATGGTCCCCGACACCCACAAAGTCATTTTCACCTAAAAAGCAGAAGGAAATGGTGAATTCGACGTTCAAGATCAAATTCACCCTTCCACCACGAATCAAGTGAAAGGGCGAGAAAGACAACAACCACAGCTCGGCGGGCACCCGCGCTCCCGCGGCGGCCGTTGTCGCCCAGACGCCCCTCCCTGGGGCATGCGTCCAATCCCATTCAGCATCCCCAGGGAATTCATCTGACCATATCCTACGTCCCCGAGGTATTCATCTTAGACTATGATATGTCCCCGGGGCCCCCATCCTCTCCATGTCGATCGTCCCCAGGACATTCATCCTACAACCTCAACTGTCCTCGGGGCTTTCATCCTAAGTCAAAGGGTACACCACCATATTCGACGGAAAACCCTCGCCCTCCTCGAGGAATTCATCATGTCCCCGACGACGGCATCAAATTTAGAGAATACAGAAGAATAGAGGTAGGAAATTGACTGGATCGGTAGAAATGGCGGAATACGCGGCAGATATTGCAGTGGTAAAGGGGCAGGCACCTGCCTATTTATAAACCAGGCACGAGCCTCGAAGCGCCCCTAGGCACTTGAGTACCCTAGGGTAGCCTCCCTACAGGACCCATTGAGTGTTAGAGACGTGGCCACTATGGTCGGCCACTACCCTTCACTCTCCCCGCGAGCACAGGCAGACGGGGATGCTTCCTCTTCCTCTCATCGACTTGCTAGCCTGACAAAACCGAGATCCTCACGTTCCCACGTCCTCGACACGGAAAGCCAACAAATATTCTTCCTCGCACCTTCTTCTTCCCCGACACAATCATCGTCAAGTCCTTGCTCCTGTACTTCGGAGCTACGACTTAGGGGGCTCCTGTTCTGGGCTGGGCCCAGGCCTGCCCATCCGTCGGGCAGGCCTAACCCAACGCCATTTGGGAAAGGCCCAACAAGGGCTAAATCACCTAATGTCGGGCACAACTCTAGACACACCGGGCAGACGCTTCCCCCTGCCGGGCAGAACAACACGTCTTCCACACATTCTCCTCGTGCTCCCCTCTACGGGGACACGTCATCAGCCAACTACCCACCTCCGAAAGAGCTGGTCAGCCCACCTTCCGGAGATCACGAGACGGTTGAACTAGGGCGAAGACCACATGCTGGTCTTCACTACGCCACGTAAGCCCTAACAGTCACCTGGGTTGGGCCTGACAATCCAGCCCAACACAAGTGACCGTTGGCCCTGCGCTAGGATTAAATACCCTATTTTATTAAAGGGTCAGGTATTCAATTCTCTATCTTTCTTATGTATTTGCTCTCACTCTGGTCCATTACTTACTTTGGCATCAGAGTATCTTGCAGGTACACCCTCCTCCTCCTCCCTATTTCTGGTCAACAACCTTCAGATCGACGCGTGTGGCAGGTCACTGATTCCCTTCTGATCAAGTTAGATAAATTAGAATTTTGGACTTGAGGTTGAGAAATATGTTGATATATGTGTGTCTCATTCGAGTCATTAGGTATGCTAATAAATGGGAAATCATAATCAAGGATACATGTATCTTGAATAGAGGAAACATCATTGTGTAAAGTGAAAGAGAAAAAGTCTTCATAAAAGTAGATAGTCCTAGATAATAAGATTTCTCTGGTGTGAAGGTTCATAACTATGTAGTCTTTTGCACCTTGTTTGTAACCAAGGAAAACACCTTTTATTGCAAAAGGATCAAATTTTTGGCGCCATTGGAGAATTGTTGAGGAAAAAAATAGCAACCAAATACTTTGATGTTGTTATAAGGGGAAGGTGAACCATGAAGCAACTCATAAGCAAAATGTGAGCTGATGACAAGAGATGGTAACCTGTTGATTAGAAAAGCTGCATAATTGATGGCAAAGTTTGAAAAAATATTTGGTAAGTTACATTGAAACATAAGGGCTCTTGCAACATTGAGAATATGCCTATACTTCCTTTGTGTAACAAAATTTTGGTGAGGAGTCTCTATGCAAGTCATTTGATGGAGAATGTCTTTGTCTTTGAAATAACTATTATGTAATAAAAACAATCACATATAATATTAGAATGATTAGAAACATCAAGAAATCTTTGTTTGATATTATTAATAATATTGTGTGAAGAATGTCCAAGTTTATGGTGTCAAAAGCTAAATTTATTGGACACATTGTAAGTATATGTATGAAAACTTACATCAATGTTTTGAGGAATATGAAGGAATATGAACACAAGAATCTTGATGAAGTATGTGTTGGAAAAATAACATAAAAAATAAATTTCTATGCGCGCGAAAGCATACCCACAAAAAGAAATAGCAAATAATTCCAACAAAAATTTATAAAATCATAATTCAACTTGCAATTTTTGAACGCAAAAATTGCAAATCCTCCCTCAATTGCAATTTTTGAAAGCAAAAATTGCAAGCTCTTTCAACAAACTATTTTTGAACAAAAAAATAGAAAATTCTCTCAAAAAAAACTATTTTAGAACGGAAAAATAAAAAACTCTTTCTAAAGACACAACTAACTAAGTCCCCAAAATACTCAAAAGACTATATTTTGTTGTTGTGTGGAAACCTAAAACTAACTATCTATATTTATATTAATACTCAAATTCTATTTTTTTCTACTACCCGATGTGGAACTTGGATGAATATTCTATTTGACCCAACAAATCTTTCTTTCACCCAAAGTCTCACATATCTTTACTTTGTCTTCAATTCATCTTCAAAGCGATCATTATAATTATAATAATTAGACATATTTGTAAAATTATTACTCTTCAATTTTTTTGTCTTCTTCCTTATTTGATCAGAATAATTGTTACTCTTCCTTTCTCCCTTAAACGAAACCTTAAGAAATAAAAAAAGATATTGAAAGATGGAGACAGATTGAATGAAATACAAAAGATACTGGTTGTTGTATATTTTTTCATAATTCTATTTCTAATCATTTTAACCAACTATCTGTATTTATTTATTATTGAAATATTCGAATTATCTTAAATATAAAATTAAATAATAATAAATTGAAAATATTAACTAGAGGGGAGACACATTTATTTATTTTAAGACAAATAGTTCTATAAAATGAGTGAACTATTTTGGGAGAGAGTAAACAATTTAGTGAATGATTAGTTTTAATTAATATTTTATTCTCCTATCACTTCCTGGTGTGGGGAATCTTTCATTTTGTTTTAAATCTTACCAAAGGCTTACTTAATATATACAAAGATCACTGTAATCTTTGAACCCGTTCTCATACTGTAATGGCGAGGGAAGAAGGTGAGTTTCGTAGATTCATTTTTTTCTGTTATGGTTTTTTTATTTTCTATTTTTATTTTTTTTATTTTTTTGAGTTTGAATTTATGTTATGGTTATTTGATTTGGTTCACTCTGTTTGATCTTGTTACAGTGTTTGAGTTTCTCGGTTGCGTTCCTTTGCTTCAGAGGCTTCCTAAATCGTCGTTACAGAACTTATCTCAGCTTGTGATTATCAAAAACTATGGTAATTAAATTAATCACTAATCAATTTTAATTTTGACAATTTTGTGTTTTTTTGTTGTTTAATCAAACATTGAGATTTGGAAGTTTTGTTGTTTAAATCTCCTGAAGGAGGAGAAAAAAGCTAAAATTAGAACTGATATATTGACATTTGATTATGCAGTGGTAGTTTATTTTTTATTTTTTAAATTTGTTATTGAGTTTGATGTATTTTAGAAAATTTTTATTAGTTTACAGAGTTTTGAAAATTTATTGGAAGAGATGTTTGATTTAAGGGAAGGATGGTTGATGAACTATATTGCATGCATTAATGTTTTCTGTTATTGAATGGTTGGTTGTTGTGTAGAGCCGGGAGATTATGTTGTTCGCGAGGGAGAGCCTGGAGAGGGTCTTTACTTCATTTCGGAAGGAGAGGTATGCTCATTTTTTTCTTACTTTCTTCTGGTCTTAAATGTAAACAAAATAAATTAAATAATATTCTTTTTTTCTTCTTCTTATATTTAAGGCCAACGAGTAGCGTACAAGTATTATTGGATTGTTTGTAGTGATCTAGAGGTCGAATGATTATGATGGAGAATGGGGTGTTAAGATTTTGTTTATGCAATTTTATTCTTTAAAATTTTACAGTTTTGTGCGTAAAGTTCCGTTTCTTGGTTTGCAGGCTGAGGTCATTGGATCTGGCATTACTGATAATGAAAAGGATCATGAGTTTCAACTGAAGAGATATGACTATTTTGGTTTTGGTAATAACTTCTTGCTTATGCAGCTATGTTCAAAACTGCTCTTTAATTTTTAAGTATTTTTCCATCATTTCAAATGGTATAGGCACTGTTTTGGGTGATCAAAGGCCTAACAGAATATCTAGAAACTATCTTGTAAGGTCGAAGCTTTCTAAGTTTTAGCTTGAGTGAAAATGTTAGGATCTAGAAAACAAGGACACAACATGAGGTAAGGTATGGGTAAAATACATTGTGGGTATGAGGATATGGAAGATTTTATAAATAACAAGAGACCCTAGGGTACAACCAATAAAATTAGGTAAAAGATAAATAAAATATACAAATTTGAACTAAGAAAAGATAATAAATATTTTGAAAATTTAGCATGGGTATTGGTAAACAAAACAAAAGGTTAATATTTCTCTAAGAGGAGTGCTAGCATTAGCATCACACTTTTTAACAGGAGTATTGTTCCATTTTCTAAAAGTCAACTTGCCCTTTAGGATGTTATCAAATTATGAGGCAAGCATCTGATTTTTTTCTCTTTGAAATGGATCAATCATAAAGATTCTGCTAAAGAGTGTTTAAAAGATTGTATTGCTGCCATTCTTCTTTATCTAGTTTGTGCAGTATTCTAGTTTTTAATATGTTAATATAAGTATTCGAAGATTCTCGGCCCGTTTCCTTATGGCCTTTAGATTAGTATTTATGAGCTCAAAGATTACCTAACCCATTTCCTTATGTCCTCTAGATTTCATAACATTGTCTATCCTGTTTCCCTATTTAATTAGTATCAGGAGTCTATTACCATTTACTAGTATAAATAGGCTTTGGTGCTCTGTACTTTGACAAATCATTACATACAAGAGAAATTAGTTTAACATACCCCCGCCCCTCTATTTTCAACAATATTCTGCACTGGAAATATGGAATTAGTTAAAATTTTGTAGCCATACAAACTAAGTTTTATTAGTCTAAAACAGATAGGCTTTGTTTGACCTTTTTTTTAGAGTTTCCTTGTTACATTAAATGCACAAGAGACTATTATTACTATATAGGTTCATAACTATAATCACAGAAGACTAATAAGAACTTGCGACTTGCAGGTTTATCAAATGCAGTTCACCATGCTGATATCATAGCTTTGACTAAGGTTCCCCTTTTTGGTTTATGGTTCTACTGCTTTCCAATATCAACATGACATAAATGTAAATAAAATGTTTTTTCAATCCTGTAGCAACTTTTTTTTTGTTTGCTATGCAGCTATCTTGTCTAGTGCTGCCTCATGAGCACTTGGCACTGTTGCAGCCAGAGTCTATCTGGAGTGCAGAAAAATCTCTTGAGAGATGCTCACCTGTAGAGCATATATTGCATTTGGAACCAATAGAGGTGCTCATAATACACATGATATGGCATAATTGATTGATATATGTTACTAGAGAGTGAAGAGTTATTGTCATGGTTTATCTTTGATAATAAGTAGTAATACACTAAATTTCCTATAATTTATGATTTGTATATATATATTTTGCAAAAGCATTAAGCCTTTTATATCTTTCCGCTCTTTCTCTTTGGAAGGTAGATATTTTTCAAGGTATAACCCTTCCGGATGCTCCAAAGTTTGGGAACGTGTTTGGGGGACAATTAGTTGGACAGGTACGATAAAATTACTTTGTATTCTTCACATAGTATTTTCTAAGGGTAGACTTCTTATGAGGTAATGTGTAATCCCCAGGCACTGGCTGCAGCATCAAAGTCTGTTGATTGTCTAAAGGTTGTTCATAGCTTGCATGCATATTTTCTTCTTGCGGGGGATGTTAACAGTAAGCACGTTTAATCCTAAACTTTGTTAACAGTGCTCTGGTGTAATTTACCTTTGATCCATTTTTGTTTTCTCTATCCGCCAGTTAAATTTCATTTGTATAAGCAAGTTTTTTATTTATTTATTTTATTCTATTTTATATTTTGTTTGTAAATTGCATTTGTAAATGGCTGCCATTTTATATTTAGTTGGCAGTTTACAATTTTTATTCTTGACAAATCCAACTCCTGGATTTTCATCACCAGCTTCCCTTTACTGTTGTCCATGTTTGTTAAGGTGTAATAGCTTCACATTGTTTATATTTTGGTTAAATGGCACTGAGACAAGAGAAACCAATAGATAGTCTTAGAGAACCCAATCTTGAGCAATGTTGTGAATCAAACAGCTGATTGAGTTTTATATCATTATTCATATAACGATCTAAAGGTAGGGGTGGCAAAATAATTCAGGTCTCAACTGTCCAACCATCCCATCCATACATAAATCCATCCCAGCCCATGCAAGTGTAAAAATAAATACACGTATTGAATTGGATAAATTCTTTTTATTGATGGCTGATTAATGATCTCTTTCAAATCCATTGGATTGTGATATTATTAGTCTTAGGTTTTATATTGGGTCTAACTCATTTTTACAAAACCGATTTGTAAGGTGAGGGTGCCCAAACTTCACAAATACTACACGGGCCATATCTCGAGACAATTTGAGCCTAAATCCACCCCTTCACACCGAATACAATGAAGGTGTTGGAGGCTTCAATGAAGACAACTCAAATGCCGCAATTACACAGCTAGGGGCTGACACCAATAGAGGTTCCAACATTAATTGCTTCAAATAGATTCATAATGGGTTTGATCCTTCTATGGACTTAACATTGGAAGGATTTTACACGACTTGTTTTCCTTCTCGATCGATCTAACCATCTTACATGGAAGTAATTTCAAGTTCTTTTTGTTAATAGCCAAACTTAGTGCTATCAAATAACTTCAATGTTTTGTTGTCAAAATAGTTGGTGTCTCAATAATCCTCGAGTTTAGTTTATGTTGACTTCTATAGGTTCTCCTAATAAAGGTTCTGTCTTTTTAAGATAATAGATCATGTTTAAGAAAATCAAGCAATACTTTCTTCAAGATAGAAAATTTAAAGCACGCAATTCATTGTCATCATTCTCATAAAATGTGTGTTATGAGTACGGCTAAATCATTTGCTTGTTTAAAATAGTCAAAATATTATACATTATGTTCTCTTTCCTATTCCAGTACCAATTATATATAAAGTTAAGCGTCTGCGTGATGGGAAGAGCTTTGCTACAAGGAAAGTGGATGCCATTCAAAAGGGAAACGTTATATTCACTTTGCTGGCGTCATTTCAGGTAATCCCCATTCTTCTTGATTTGGGATAAATTTTTGAGTCATTTTTATTTATTTATTTCGCTGTAAATCAGGTCAAGTTATACACTTTTTTTAGTTCATATCTGCATTTTCTTATCATTCTTAAATGAATAGTACATAATAACAGATGAAATGCTATTTCGGAACACCAGATAGTGCAACCAAGCAGTTTAACTTAATATTTCATAGTTCAGACTAGTTACTGCTGGGAGTTAAAAGATGAAATGCCATTTGGGAACACCCAGATAGTGCAACTATATAAAAGGAGGATGAAAGGAGGGAATGGCATGCTTGAAGCCTTGAACAAAACGAACGGCTAGGTTGAAACAGCTTACAACTCAAAGGAAAGCTAAAAGCCCTAATTACCCTTAAAATGTTCTAATTTTAAGGAGTAATTTTGATTTTCAAGTGAAAAACAGGAAAGTGGCGCAGATGTGCTTCAGGTCGCGATTCATGAAAAACCTAGGAGCGTGTGCGACCCCATTCCGCACCGCCACCGACCTTGCCTCCGCGGACTTCCTCGGCTCTGCTCTGCATTGCCGAGATAGCTGCACTCCAGGTCGCTATTGAATTCCTAGATCCTTGATTGGATTTAGTTCTGCTAGGAATAGGAGTTTCGATGCAATATCAACAATTAGGTAATCAGATGCTGTCTAGCATTGCCAATTCAATTTGGAAGAATATAAACCTATGAGTTTCCGTTTTTGTATCAATATTCTAAGGAGAAAACTACAGGTCAAACCATTGAGAGATATTTAGAGTTGAACAATCTATTTTTAAACTTAATAGGTGTTCGGGAGCTATATTGCCGACCCTATCTACTGAGATATGGTTCATTGTAGGTGCAGTTTCAGTTTTTCATGATTTAAAAATTTAACATGGTTGATGTTGAGTATATGCAAAGATGCCAATCTTTGTCTTTAGTCAATGGGCACATGTTCTTTCAGCATATATTCTCTAACACTAGTTGATGAATTCTACTTTATATTCAAGGTACATTTATTTATGTTATAACCTTAATTCTACAGAAGGAGGAATTAGGGTTTCAACACCAGGAAGTGCCTATGCCATCAGTCCCTACCCCAGATGAGGCAAGTAACACAATTTTTATTCATAAAAAAGGCCAAGTGCTGCTATGAAATTTTGGACTAATGGAATTTGCTCTCTTTTATAGCTTATATCTATGGAGGAGTTACGAGAGCAACGTCTTACTGATCCTCGTCTTCCAAGGTAAGACTTATTATCCAGCATATCCTGTTTGATGCAATAGTTTTCTATAGTTGTTTATTTTTCATTTAAATCAATTCCAGATAAGGGTGAGTATCTATATGATGATTTTCTATGCTGTATTTACAAATTTGGTTGCTTCAGAACATACCGGAACAAAGTTGCTACAGCTAAATTCATTCCCTGGCCCATAGAGATACGGTTCTGTGAACCTAGTCCTTCTACAAATCAGACCAAGTCTCCTCCTAGGTTAGCTGGGTGCTCTCTCCTAATTTTTGCGTACATTTATACCGGTATTGTATGCTATTTTTTATGGAAGATTTGGAAAGAGGACAAAGGAAAGCTTCAGTGTACCTTTAGGAATACAGCAAATCCTTTGCTTTCCTTCCTCTGTAAATCATTTACTCATAGCCTCTTGGAAGTCTTAATGGCACTGCATATCAACTAAACTTGTTTAAAATTTGAATGCAGTTTGAAATTCTGGTTTAGAGCAAAGGGAAAGTTGTCAGATGATGAGGCCTTGCATAGGTGCATATCTTTTTATTGTTGGATACTCTATTTTCAAACATTTTAGTGAAATTGGCAATTGCAGGGAAAACTTTTGTTATGAGAAAGAACTTGATTGAAGAATTTGTAACAATATAGACTGCGGAAAATTCGTTTTTATTGTTGATATGCATCTAAGCTGAACCTATGTCAAGATCCAAATCCCAAAAGCTTAAGTTGTGAGTTATTAGGTGAATACACATGACTGGTTTTTATGTCTAACAAGTTCCTTTAACAAGAACCCTTTTGAGCTTATGGCTTACCAATGCACTGGTCCATTTTACTTTGCTGAAATTCAACTGTCACGCCAAATCGAAACCTACTATCTCATAAATTCGAACAATTGGCTTATCAATGGTCTTATATCAAACAATCTGTATGGTTTGCATTTCAGGTGTGTGGCTGCCTTTGCTTCTGATCTAGTATTTCTTCATGTAAGTATGAATCCCCATCGTCGGAGGGGTTTAAAGATTGGTGTCTTGAGTTTGGACCACTCGTAAGTATCACAGTTCTTTTGGTTGCATAATAGGCTATTTATATATATATTAAAATGTTAAAATGTGAGGCATGCCTAGCAAAATTTCAAGCTTTGTAGCTTATTTATTAGTATTTTGATGTTTTCAGTTTTTATTTTTATTTCAGCATGTGGTTTCACAGACCTATAAGAGCTGATGACTGGGTGCTATATGATGTAAGTGTTTTCATTATTTTGGAAAAGTCAACCTACAACACCAAAATTCTGAGTAAAAACACATTTTTAACAACAATTAAACCATCCAAGTATAGATTATCAAGTCAATAATTGATATCTATGATTACTTAACTAGTTCAGTGGTTGGCTTTTCCTAAATTTAAATTATTTTCGCATAATTGTGTGGTATGTGTTGTAAAGTTGTTAATGCCCTGAAGCGAATTTGTTCAACAGATCTTTAGTCCAAACGCCTTTAATGCGCGCGGCTTTGTTACAGGCCAGATGTTCAATCAGAAGGGAGAGGTAGAGGATTACATCACATCATCTATTACCTTTATCTTCCTTTTCATGTGTTTGTGTGTTCTTTTCCTTGGTTCAGCTTGTCTAAATTTCTCCATTGTTGAATTGCAGCTACTTGTTTCTTTGGTTCAAGAAGGCCTGGCGAGGAATCGTATTCCTAAAAAATCAGCCACCAACTCTAAGTTATGAACTTTTACCAACAAAATTATTAAAAAAAATCAGCCACCAACTCTAAGTTATGAACTTTTACCAACAAAATTATTAAAAAGGTCTCGAGTTAAATATAAGTAATAGTAGTTCAACACTTATATGTTGAATATTTAGACAAATATTATTTTATTTTTAATTTATAAAATAATGGTAAATATATAATTTTATAATAAGATTGTAGTGTTTAAGATTGTTTAGACCATTTTATAAATAGAATGATATGAGATTTGAAATAAATACATCATAATATTTAGACCATATTACATTATCTTTTAGACGATAAAAAAAAAAAGAAGCTAGAAATCCTAATAAATGAGGAATATTTACTTCAATGATAAGGAACAATGACAAGCTTACTTGGGGGTAGAACAACAATGATGAGAAGGGGATGAATGAGATTTGAAAGCTTCCATAGTAGAGGATGATAGATTTGGTTGAGAGATGATGAGGGAAAAATGGACGGAATGATCAGATGTCAATTGGTATAGTTTGTGAACTTGACAATGTTGTGGAAAAGGTGAAGGCAATGTTGGAAAGGAGTTTAGACATTTAGTTGAAAACTTGCATGTTTATGCAAGGAATAAATGAACTAATGTATAAACTAATGGTTCATTAACAATTGTGTGATAATTATTTCCACATAAGTGCCTATTAATGGACAGTTATCGAATGACAATGCAAGGGAATACAAATTGTTTCAAGAACAAAAGATTATTTTTTAATTTTTTTTTAACTATTACTCCATGATTCATTTGAAATAAAAAAAATATTTTTAAATAAATAATTTATTTCAATTTTTAATGCACTTTTTTTTTTTTTTAATTCTATCATCTAGTATTTAATACTCCATGCGTCTCACAATGATACCCATTTGAAATAAAAAAATGTCTCAAAAAAATATCAATTTTCAATGTATATTTTTTAGTTTTACCATCTAATTAATACTACATCTGTTTTTTTAATTATTATAAGTCACTTTTAAAAAAATTGTATCACAATATAAGTTGTTTTATAATATTAATAAATAATTAATGTTATTTTTTTTATTATACTTTTAGATATTTATTATTCTCTCTCCTTTTAATTATTTAGATTTGTCTTTTCAATATCATTAATAAAGGACAATTTTGTAAAATTTTTCATAATTTCTCTTTTCTATACTATAATTATTATATTTATTAATACGTGTGAAAGTAAAAAACAACTTATAATAAAAACGGAAAATATATTATTTTTTATCATTTCCAATACTTGATAAGAGATAGTTTAGTAAAAATATCATTTTTTTTCCCCTTAATCTGTGTGAAATGGTCAACTGAATCACTCATTATGAGACGAAAGAAGTATTACTTTCATCATTCTCAATACTTGATAAGGGGTACTTTAGTAAAAATATCATTCTCTTCCTTTTTTTTTATCTGTGTGAAATGGTTAACTAAGTTACTCATTGTAGGACGAAGGAAGTAGTAAAATACATTATGGGTAAGCTAAAATAGTACTCCCTCTGTCCCATAATAATTGTCATATCATTTCACACCGATTGAGTAAATGTAATAAATAAAAGAGAGAGAATAATATTTTTACCAAACTAAGAGTATCTTTGTTATTATTGGTGTATTCGAATTATCATAAATGCAGAATAAAAGAATAATAAATTGTGAGTATTAATTAAAGGACATAATTGGAAGATAAACACTAAAATTGCATTGCAACCCTTATTTTACGATAAATAATTTTATAAGACGCGACAATTATTTTGGAACAGAAGGAGTAGTAAAATATAACACAGTTGCGGATAACAATGTGTTTTTATTATAAAAATATTTATTAAATATATATAATTCATAAATTATTATAAAAACTCATAATTTATTTATTTTTGTTAGAAAAAGAGGAGCAAAAAGAAAGTAAAGAAATTGAAAAGTTTATCATATATCCATAAATGGCGCTGTCTCCTATGAGAGGTCTTAATAGGTCTCTTATATAAGAGACCAAAATTTTCATTTTTCTTTTCAATTTTCAACCATTTAGCGGCGGTTTCAAACCCCGCAAAATTTCAACAATTTAACGACGATTATAAACCCCCCGCAAAAATACAAGAAGTGGGTTGAATTGTGTTGGTTTTTCACAAACTTTTTTAAACTTCTACTTCTGATTGAACTTGATTAGAGTCTGAACCTTCAGTTCAGAGTTTGAATCATAGTCACTTCAGAGTTTAAACTTTTCTATTTCTTTATCAGATTCTGAAACAGAATCTGACTCAGATGTAAATAAATGATAACAACGAAATATAATTTAGAAGCAAATAAAATAAAACAAGAGATACAAGCAATTATCTTGGTTCATCTCACAACTGAAGAGTAGTTTAGTTCCATTGTACTTCAAAGGGATTTCCACTATAACTAAATCTGATTACAAATGCTCAAGCCCACAAGCAAGAGACTTTCTTTACTTACACATACAAGTATAAGACTTCCTTGCTCAGACACACAAGTCTGAGACTTTCTTACTCAACCGCACGCTTAAGACTTTCTTGCCCAAACACACAAGCTAAAGACTTCTTTGCTTAAACACACAAGTTTGAGACTTTCTTGCTTAAGCATACAAGCTTAAGATTTCAAATGCTCAAACACACAAGCAAGAGACTTCGGACTCTAAATAATTTGTTAAGAGTTTTTGGGTAACAACTACACTTGATATGCAATTAGAGATGTAGATACAATACAACTTAGAAAGACTCTAAGAATTAATAATTTCTAAAATATACAAGTGTTAAAATGTGCTAAGTCTAAAAATATTGGCATTTTGATTGTCAATTTTCAGAGTCTGTAGCAGAGTTGTATAAGCGCATGGTTATCTTCTCTCGGTCTACAACTTCTTTTATAGAGAGGAGAAAAAAAGACGTTGGAAACTTTCACCAAATAGGTTGGGCTAGCTTTGCACTTGATTAGAAACATCAACAAAGTACCTTTATGCAAGAAGAATTATCCGTTGAAGCATAGGCACTAAGGAAGAGATTTTCCTTAAGTCTTCACGTGATTAAAAAGTCTCTGAGTCTGCTAGAGTTACCTTGGTACAAGAGCTTCTGCTTCAGAGGATGACTTTCTTTCACACTTCACTCTTCAAAGGATGATCACATCATAGTCCTCTTTTTGGCTTCTGAAGCTTCAGATCCTGGTTCACTAGAGGCTATCTTTCTTCAGAGTTGACTTCTTTAGAGTCTGGATCTTCATCAGAGGTATAGTCTTCATAAGTGATCTTCAGATCCAGATTTTTATCTTCAGATGTAGATTCCTCAAGCATTTATTCATATGTTCTTAATGATATAATCATGCATACTTGACTGATGTTAGAAAGCCCAATTGTTCTTTAAATACTTTGTTATCATCAAAACCTAAGGAATATGGTATCAATCAGTTTTGTTTCAACATAGTGACTTATTGAGGTCTCTCGTGGTATCATGCACCTCCATAAATAGAGGTTTAAATTTTTGTTTTGTATCCATTAATCTAACTTCTTACATGAGTATGAGTTTTAAAAATATAAAGATAATAGAGAGAGAAGAAGAAGGCTGGAGATAAAGAGAAGAAGAAGGTTGGAAATGTAGGGTTTTTGGGTAGTATTTTTTTCAATTCTTATTTTGTTATATTATGTTTAGAATACAAGGTTGATTGAACTTCTTCAAAGATCAACGAATCTCTTGCATACAAGAGAGTTTCTTTGAAGTGAGCATGAGATATTGATAAAACACATAACAATATCAAACTATTGATCTTTATCATCAATCTTGACCTCAATATTTTCAAGATCAAGAATCAACTTGTTGAACATATCCAACTGCTCAGCCAAGAATTTATCTTCACTCATCTTAAACAAATACAAAGCTTGCTTCAGGTAGAGACGATTAGCCAACGATTTCGTCATGTACAAGCCTTCGAGTTTCGTCCATACACAAACTACAATTTTTTCCTTTAAAACCTGCTGGAGGACCTTATCACAAAGGCTTAATATGATGATACTATGGGTTTTTTCTATCATCATCGTCGTCTTCTTCTTCTCTGTTAGAGTAATATCCATCTTTTCTGATCCTTTCAACACTTCTTATAAACCCTGCTAAACTAGTAGGGTTTGCATATTCAAGCGCCACAAACTGAACTCATTCACACCGGTGAATTTCTCAATCTCATACTTTGTTAACGACATTTTTTCCTCCATGCTCACCGCACCCGTTTGTTGTGAATTGATATCGTCAAGAACAAATCAAATTATGAGAATGATTGAGCGTCTTAACAAACACAAGAAACCCTATTAGGTTTTACAAAAGAGGGAGAAGAAGGAAGAAGAAGAACTATGGTTGGTAATAACTATTTTACTATTCACTTTCTCTATTAGGATTCAAAGAATACAAGTGAATATCAACAACCAAAAATCTCTCTCAACAACTTGAGAGAAACATTCAATTTATATACTACTAAGCTAAATTAAGCAACAAGCTAACTTAAAGAATTAGCCCAACAGACTGGATCAATTCAACATGCTAGCGTAAACAACAAGCTAACATATTTCTGCATGCAAGAACAGACTTTGACTACGACATATACAACTTCGACTTCGACAAAGTTTACTACAATACTAGCTTATAACCCACAAGCTACCCAAGTCTTGGTCTTAGAAATATTAAGATAATAAAAATTTGATTGGTTATCTCTTTATTGGAAGTTGTTGACTATCAATAACCAATGGTTTTATATATTTATTAGTAGATACTTCAAGCACAAAAATCAATCACGTGTCATATTTCTTTTTCTATATGGCTTGACATTAGGAATTCCTTTTACTTTCTAGAAGAACATAGCAGATGGTAGGTTGGTAATGTGAAGAATATTTATTTGTGGACAAACAATTAGTTGGGAGACAAGATTAAAGATTTACACCTAGTGTTGTTAGTGGTTATTCAATTCATGCAAATTTCTAAGGTC